GTACTGGAAGGCAACAAATGCGAACGTGAAATGGCAACTGCTTATTTTTGATGCGGTTGTTCGATCAAAATTGTTATACGGACTTGAAACTATACACCTCACTGACGCCATGCTGAAAAAATTGATGCCTTCCAACTACGGTGCTTGAGGAAAATCCTCAAGGTTCCGTCAACATTTATAGACAGAAGAAACACAAATAGAGAGGTTCTGAATAGATGTACAGCGCTGGCATATCCAAACCGAGGCGATCGACGTGAGTTCGAATTGTTCAGCAAATCGTATCTCCGTAGGAAATCAAAATTATTGGGTCATGTACTCAGGGCTAGCCACGACGATCCTATGCGCCAAATTTCTTTCCAGCCCGATTGTGCATCAGAGTTTCTTATGGGAAAAAACGAGTCGGTCGCCCGAGACAAAACTGGCTGCATTACGCCAAAAAACATACTTTTGAACATATTTTAGGTGGTTATGATTACACAGAAACTGTTGCTGAAGACTCACGAATTTATGATGCAGCCCTCACTCGAAACTTTCTGATATGTAAATATGCCACGGCTTCTTTTGGCTACGCCAACGCCCTGCATTATATGACTGAAGTCAGTGCGGGGTACGGCTGGGAAAAAAAAGGTCGTTTCACCTTTCCCGTCCCCCTCCCTCATCATTGCAAACGTTGACTACCTCCCTGGACCATGACCCGCCTCCATCCGGTTCTGCAATTTCTACCCCCAGCCCTACTACCAAACCCACGCCTTCTGATCTTTTTGGGTTCCTACTGAAACCCAACGGTGAGCGTGTTCGGTTTCTCATTCCACGTCCTCCATTGAACTTTCGGTTGCCTGAGGCAAAGCCTTAATTCACTATTCTACCACCTCAGTTTCGTCCGATACCACTTTGACCTACAAAACACGAGTTGCTTCTTTTTCATGTTCTCCTGTCTCCATCAGACTTGGGACTTTTTCTGCGTGTTTGCAACAATTTCCTGAATGTATGTTCTTTCCTTCCCGCAGCCCTTTGGATTGGATTCCTCGTTTGTTCCCTGCATCATCGACATGGACATCAACACCAACCTGGACGCCTCTGGGAGCACCTCCCTGACACAAGCTTTTGTTGATGACTTTCCATTGACTGCAGAACAGATGCAGACTTCCACTTTATTTGCTCTCCCACTCGGACCCGATGGATCCAATGTGGTCGTCGACCTGGCCCCGGGCTCTACCACCCTTCTTGACCCAGCAACTCTTGATCCTGCCCTCCTACCCGGCCTTCCTCGTGTTGACAACCAATACAATGAGGACTACACGGATTATGCCAACCAGCTTCATACCCGCAATCATGGGGACTTTTATGTTGCCCCTCCGCATGAGGAATGGGCCTGCCGCAACTATGGCACCGCCCGCTACTGGTTCTATCGAGCCTGGTTCCATTATCGCACCATTCGTTGGGATCATGACGATGTCACCTACTTTCGATCCACCAATGGCTTCTTTTTGGACACGCACCCCTATTCCAACTGGTCCGACCAACACCTCCGTGTGTGGGGCACCCGAGGATGGCAACTCGTTTTGGGTGCGACCCAAAGCCTTCCTATTTGGCAGGCATGTGAAGAATATGAACGAGCCATTTTGGCTGAGGAACAACGCCTGACTGCGCAAACCCCTTCTCCAGAAGCACATCCTCGTGGACGCAAACGCCAGGCAGTGGAAAACCTGGAACACGCTCGCGTGGAACATATGCTGGAACACATGCTTCAACATTTTTCTGAGCTGGATGTCTCCAGCACACCCGGATTGCGAGACCTCCCTGCTTCCCAACAACAGAACGTCATTGATGGACTTGTCTATACCTTGACCTCTTATCAGTATGAACTTCGCCACACTGTTGACCAACAGACTTCTTCGACACATCCTGACACCTCGCCACCATTACATTCATCGGAGACTCAGCCCGACCCCAATACCAATGATTTGCCCATCTCCCCTGCAGCTGCTGGGGTGGATATCCCTGTTCCGGATTCTGCATCTATGTCTTTGACATCATCCTCCACTTCGCCACCGAACACATTGGTACCACCATATCCATCCACCACTGAGGACATGATTGAGCACACCCGAGCAAAATTGTTTCTGGGTTGCGTGCTTCCCCTTGTACATTCTCTCGAACCCTATCCCACACGAAAACAGCCCTCTGATACATTTTGTTTCACTTCTTCCACTATTTTTCCTCCCTATCAGTTGATCAGTTGATTTCTTCACATCACCACTTTCACTCCAACGCACCCATCTACATGGCTTTACATCACCGCAGCCACTTGGCTCTCCCCAACCTCTTTGGTACCTTTGCCCTTACGATGATCTCTTCACCCGGAGTCCTGAGCCTTTGACCCAGCTGATTCGCACTGACTGGAGAGACGTCGGACAACCTTTTGAAACCCTTGATCAAATACCTCATCTCTCCACCGCTTAACTACATCACCGTGACCCTCCAGCTTGAAACCAAGGAGTACACGGTTGATGATCTTAAAGATGTGACCTACTCCCGTGTTGGACAGCAGCGCGCAGCCTTTTGGATGGCCTTACCTTCCACCCGCAACTCTCGTGTATGGGAAGTCCCACATACTTGCACACTTGAAGACCTCGTTCTTTACTATGTCAACTCACGACGGCTTTGGGTACTCGGCATTCCACATGAATATCCACGTGGTGCGATCCCCTTCCCTTATCGACCTCTGCACACCGTCGCCCCTCGATTACACGATGATGCCATTTGTCAACTACGACTTCCTCTGACGGCATATCAAACTCACCGGGAACTTCGTCAATTTCATTCACCTAACCTACCCGGCTTGGCGCTTAGTATCCCTTTGGGGAGGCGTGTGTGTGTGCCCCTTGTAGTCACAGGGCTTCAGCAGGGGGACTGCCTGGCTTGTAGCAGTGGCAGTCCAGCGAAGAGGCTGTTACAAGTCACTGATATGGATTCTGGACGCAGAATCCACGTACCTGCTTGGTTGTGGCGTTTACAAGCTTTCACTCCAATCTTCTGGTAAAGGGCTAGTGCGTTCTGCAGATGTGCACGACCGTCGTCACTTCGACCTGCTCGCCGCTTTCGATCTTGCGTTTTTGGCCCCCCTTCCTCTTGAAGACCTCCAGGATCCAGTGGTTCGTACTTGTATTCTTAGGAAATGGCACCCTAGGCCGGCGTGTGGCACCGCTGTCAAGTCCGTACGCATATCCAGAAGTGTGTGTGAAAGCCTTGGAGCCACGGGGAATGCAGTTGGTTGTCCAACGAAGAGGGGACTTTGGTGAGCAACATCAGGCCCAAAACTTGGCTCTTCAACCGGCTGAACTTCATGTGAATCACGCAGAAGAAGGTCCCGCGCTGTGGGTGCTACAGATTGTCGTGCCTTGCCGGCTTCTAATCTGCGCTAGCACGCATATTATGCAGTGCACACTGCCGTGGTCAAACTTTTGCTTTCAACGTCGGCGTCGTGGTGGTGGTGGTGGCGGCGGTGGCGGTGGCGGTGGCTGTTGTTGTTGTTGTTGCTGCTGCTGTTGTTGTTGTTGTTGTCGTCGCCGTCGTCGCCGTCGTCGTCGTCGTCGTAGTCATAGTCGAATAGTCGTAGCCGTAATCGTATTCGTAGTCCTCGTCGTTCTCGTTCTCGTTCTCGTTCTCGTTCTCGTTCTCGTTCTCGTCCTCGTCCTCGTCCTCGTCCTCGTCCTCGTCCTCGTCGTCCTCGTCGTCCTCGTCGTCCTCGTCGTCCTCGTCGTCCTCGTCGTCCTGGTCGTCCTCGTCGTCCTCCTCGTCGTCGTCGTCGTCGTCGTCGTAGTAGTAGTAGTGGTAGCAGTAGTAGTAGTAGTAGTAGCCGTCGTCGTCGTCGTCGTCGTAGAAGCAGCAGGAGCAGTGGTAGTGGCAGCAGCGGCAGCTGCAGCAGTAGCTTTGACATGTTTCTTTTCCTTTTTTCCTTTCATCCACTGTTCGTTTCCATCCCTTATTTGCACCTTGTCCACCACTTCCCCTTGTCCTCTGAACTGCCCCAACAAGTTGTACAATGTACGTATGCGTTGGGGCCTGTTGGGGATAACAAAATATCAAAAAGGCAGGCTTTTTGCCCACCACCGCCGGAAGTATGAGTCACACCTCATCATCCGATGCCTCATATCAGCAATCACTTGGCCCAAGGAACTTCCACAACCGGCGGCTCTGCGCTCGGCCGCGCTCCTTTTGGCGCGGCGGCGGACCGGCGGGAAGAAGATGCTCCCCATCCGTTCGCCAGGGAAAAAGATGCGCCATGGGCCATGGCATGGTTGCCAAGATGAGAATGCAATGAGGGTTCACGGAGCCATTGAGGGGATTGAACCGAATCAAAGTCCAGCCCGATGATGCTCTTTTTGCTCGGCGCTCTGCACTGCCTTGTGAGCAGTGCCCACCAAGGGTGATTATGGTGCGAAACCTGGCTCGCATTGTGGAAGATCTGAGGCTGAGGGGCCACTGACCAATCCACCATTTTACTAACGAATGACTGGCACTTGTTGACCATGTGCACAGACTCCGTACCGTCATTATGAAGTGCTCGAAACCTTGTCACCACTGTCACCTTTTGATGTGCCACTTCCGGCTCCTCCGTTCGTTTGCAGCCGTCTAGGGCTCATGTTGCCTGACGGGCCTTGTGAAGAGCATGCCGAACATCCGACACGGTGATCAGCCCCTCAGCTTCGGGGGATGGTGTTTTTCCCATTGGCAAGTGGATGCACATGGGGAAAGATGGTGAAGCTGGTGAGTTGTTGGACTGAGTAGGCCAAACCAGGTCATTCTTCGGTCTCTTTCCGCATCCAGACTTTCGTGTTGGGAACATTGGGGCTCGATTCCGGTGTTTTCGCTCGAGAAGGATGTGAGTTGGCCAGAACCCACCCTTCCTTCCGGTGTTTTCGCTCTGTGTAATAGTCCATCCAGATTTTCAGGGTCTAGCTATGAGCCCGTTCACCGTGTGTTCTCCCTGCCAGGCCATGTCTGCGCGCGCCTCACCCGTACGTCCGGTGGTCTCGCGCGTGAAGCTGCCTCAGCCAGGGCGAGGGCAGGTGGGGGTGCGAAAGGGGTCAGCGTCACCATGCGCACCCGCGTGCCTTTGAGGACTTTATACTAGGTCCCGCTCATGGGATTTCAGAAACATCCACACATCCACACAGCCTTAAGGTCCGGAGGTGCACCCCCTGCGCCACCCCGCACGACTCCCTCCTCCGTCTGAACCGAGAGACGGGGCGTCTGAACCGACCGGGGCGGTTTGAGCCTCGCGGCGCGGCGATCCGTGGGACCCTGCGGCCCGTGGGACCGGAGAGGCCTGGGAGTCGGTCTGACTACAAAAAGAATGGTCTGAAGAATGGGTGGTTTCTAGGGTGCCTGTCCTATAGGGATTTCTCCTTTACGTCACGGATGACAGACCCCTGTTTTTGGTCTTCGGAGTGCGTGCTCGTCCAAGTTCAGGGAAAAAGCATGGCCACGCCATCCACTTCCATGTTAGTGAGGCATGTGCTTGTATAGTAGGAAAGGAGGGAATTTTCACCACCCCTCTATATACCTCAGGCTCCAGCCACCCTTCTTCCATCTTATGCCTTCCTTCCTGGCGCACCCGTGCGTGGCACCGCGCGCCAGAGCGGCCTCCGGGCGCCGCTGCAGGTCCGCGTGGCCGACATCACCGCGGGCTCCGGCTGCGCTGAGCCGGGCAGCCGCTCCGGCAGCGCGCGCTCGCTGGCGGCGCGCTCGGTGCCCACGCCGGTGTTGGACAGCTCGCCCGGCCGGCGACCTAGGGAGCTGGGGGGGGTGGTGGGTGGAGCCGAGTTCTCGAAAGCCGCCCGAAGATTGCGAGCATGCGGAATTCTGAAGTGGAAGGGGTTCCCTGTGACCCATCTAAGGGGTGAAGCTTGATGAAATTTAGACTGTAGAAAGCCATGGTCGTGACTTTCCATAGAATCTTTGGACTCCGCCGTTGGGTGCGCCGCAGCCATGGCCGTTGAGGTGCGGCTGTGACGCGGCATGTCCGAACGCCGGAGCTTCGACACGGAAGCACACTGGAGAGCATCCGGTCCTTGCATCGATCCAGTTCGGAGAATGTGCTGGCACTTGGTTGGCAGCTAACGGACAGGGCTAAGGTGCTTAACTGAGTTATCTCATCCAAAACCGCAAAGGGTGTTGGTTCATTACAGCAGGACGGTGCGATGTCTTTCTTTTGGGGGGCACTTTGCTTGCAGGCCCTTTGATCGCAGGGCTCAAGTGTTTTGGGTGGGGCAGTTTGGACTCTGTCGATGTAGTCCTTGTTGTCATGACGTGCCGTTTGGAGTTCGACAGGATTGGTATTTGACCTCACCCCATTGGCACTGGACACCCACATCTTCAGACCGTCACAAGCAGGGAGAGGTGGAGGCCAGGTGAAGGTGGCGCCGGTGGGGAGGAGGCATGAGGAGGCCAGGTCTGGCTTCAGTACAGTGCATTAGTGCTGGAGCACCGGAGGCCCCAGGTAGTGCTTCTGGCTGGCTGAATGCAGTGTATCGCGACAGGTGTGCCCGGATCACGTGTTTTTGAGGTAAGATCGTTACAACGAACTGGGTCCTCCGCACGGGACGGGCCAGATGAGACGATTGCCAGATGCTAGGCCGCATTTCTAGCAGCCTGGGATTTGTGCTGCAAACATTTTGGCTGCTTTGTGCCGCCCCAGGGGAATTCCCGGTGATTTGGCGATGTTCCATGCTTTTTCGGCGGTGCCACAGGCTGACGCACCTGCCCTAAGGCCAGCCGGGCAGTACGAGCACCGGCAAGGGCTTCGAAGCGCCACTGAGCTGCGAAGGGAGGGCGCATTCCAGTTTCCCACGCATGGAGGGTCGAACTCCAGGGCGCCAGGAGCATCTATACCATTCTATACCTAGAACCTGAATGACCCCCGTTTTGGAAGATCAACTATCCAACATATGATCTTTTCCTTTCAAGAAGGAGGTCAAATGGGTTCTAGGTATTCATATCTAGATGTATCAACCGTTACGCCTTGAATATCCTTGAATGCTCAAACTGAAGAAGTAGTGGAGGGAAGGGGAAGGCTGCCCCCCTCCACCAATCAGGTCACACCATGTGGGCTTGCTAACCTTGCTGACGAACACGAGACCATTCAAGGACCAATCTTCATCTGCAAGCGGAACGAACCCCCCAGTCCCTCACAAAGCTCACAGACGACTTGCACACTCATCCGGGTGCTTTCCATCTCAAGGTCTCTTCCCGCAGCCAGTGTTTGGAACCCAGTGCCGCTGCCCGACCCGCCGGTCACGCCGCGGCCCGACGTGGCGCCCGACCACGTGGCGCCCAACGCGGCGACGGCCACGCCGCCCGTGTCGCAGCTCCACTCGAAGGCGGGGGTGACAGAGCCGGGGCAGAGCAGGGTGATGGATGAGGTGGAACTGGTGGATGAACCGTAGCTGTTCTATCATCAGCCACAGTTGGAAGGCGTTTCACGAAAGATTGCCAGCTTCTTCGAGGTGACCTTTTTGCAGTCCCTAACTGCGCGAACTGGCCCTTTTTACAGGCTCGGTGATCCCTAAACCAGGGGATCAAAAGGTCAGTCTGAAGAAGAACTTTATACCACCTGGAGGTCGATGTTATCTGCCTGCCTGTCTGCCCTCCGTCTTAGACAAGCGCAGGAGCCGCGCGTGCTGCGGGCCAATTCCGATGCCAAGCCGTCGGTCCGCGCCGCGCCCGGTCGGCCGAAGTCACGCGCCGCGGCGGAGTGAAGATAGTGAAGGGGAAGATGGAGCCAAAACGGCTCTAGCATTTGAAGGAATCCAGGGTGAGTGGGGAGGGTTTGAACTTCGGATTTGAGGCTGACATGTGTAGAAGGCACCAATTTGGGGAGGCCAGAGGGTTGCATCCTTCCACATCCCTCCTCGACTGCACAGATGGGGCATTGTGGTTCTACTGTAATTATGGCACATTGCAACTTGGACTTGTCGAAGTTACATCGTCCGGACTTGTTTGACAGGAGGCCAGGTCTGCCAGGTCTGCCAGGTCTGCCAGACCTTTTCAGATGAGCACGTGCTTTCCACCTTCCAACCGCCACCGAGGTCCTCGCCGCCAGGGCTCCTCCGGTCCGCGGCCCCAATCCGAGCCGCCCCAGACAGGCCAGACGGGCGTGACCGGCGTTCTGCCCGGCGTTCTGCCCAAGCTGCTGGACGAGATCGAGGATCACCTGCTACGGCAGACGGCGCGGCCGCCAGTGGATGCCAGCAGCTGGCTGCAAGAGACTGCGCAGCTGGAGATCTATGCGGAGGAGAGGGGGGGGTGGAGGGGTGGTGGATGAGTATGCATGGAGGCTTGCCGAATGAAAGATTATGAAAGACAAGCAAGAAAGGGTCTCTGTTTGCTCTCTCTGTTGATCCGAGGAGATGCGGAAGTTGTTGCACACCTTTGAGGCTGGATTTAGTGGGTGTGCCGAAGTTCGACATCCCCATTCCTGGAGGACTCTGAATGACCCCCTCAAAGTCAACAAGTCTTCAGTCAGGTCATCCCAAGCAGCTTTGTTTGAGGCAGGCGAGCTGGTGACCGAGGCTCCCTCCGCGCCCGCTCGAGCGCGCGGGCGGAGGGCAGCAGCGCCCAAGGGCAGCGTGCCGGTGCGCGAGCTGTCCGTGCTTCGTCACTGGGCCGTTTATGGCTTGGGGTTAGTGCGTAGTGAACAGGGAATGGAATGGCTCATTCTGTAATAGAGGTTTCCTTTGCTTCTCGGATTCTGGCAGGATCTCTTCTTTTTCAAGTTTCTTCAAACGGGAAGCGCATCTGCATTCTTACGATCTCTGTGAAGCAGTGCACATAGCCCATCTGTGGGGGTCTCACAGCTCCAGAACTCGGGCTCCGAACCACAGAGTCAGAGCAGTTCTCCGAGTCGCGGGCGTCGTCCAAGGTGGAGATAAGGAGCTCCGCTGGGCTCGGCAGCAGCTGAAGAATTGTAGCTGGGCACCCACGTGACGAGGGGGGGGGCCAGTCACACGTGACGAGGTGACCCATCCCCAAACGCCGAAAGAATGAGAGACAGCATACATCGTGCATGTTTCAAGGAAAAATGGTCTCGAATCGATGTGTTTGGAGGTCGCTCTGCTGCTTAAATTCAGGTGGTCAAGGAAGCTGTGTCAAATAGGGAGTATGTTCGATTTTAGCATGTTTTGTTTTTTTCACCATTTATATGCATAACTGGTATTGGATGGTATGCCATGCCGTTAGCTATTTTTTTCCTTTGGTGGGTTCCGGCCTTTTGGCTTTTGGGTGACTTTTGACTTCTCGCTTCTGTGGCCTTTTGGACTTTGGAATTGGTGGCTGGCCTGGTTGATGGCTTTCGCTGGCTTTTGGTTGCTTTCTTTGGTGCTTCAATCCGTGTGCTTGGGGGGGTCTTTCGCTTTGTTGCCATCCGCTGCACAAAATATCACGGGCCAAGGTCATTTGCACAGAGGTCCTCTCCATGTTTGAACTTAAAGCCTTTGCCTGTGTAAATGTTTCCTTAAGCAGTTACATCGAAAGGGTTTCAACAGGACACATACAAGTTAAAAGGACATTGAACGTGAATGTACAAGAAGTGTTTAATTTCAAGAATCAGATTGAAGAGAGAAACTGTAAGAACAATAAAATTACAATTGTTGTGAGCGGGGTGGGAAAACGCAGGCAAAACAAACAACTTAGACCAAACGAGACCAAAAACACCTACCAATTAAACGCCGGCCGCTCCCTCCCTCATTCCTTGCATCCGCAGGGTCTTTTCCTGACGCCTCACGCTAGGGACGTTCTTACGCGTTCGGGGTGGAGCAGTCAAGAACCATCACGGTTTTTACCCGCCAAATGGGCGAGCCGGTCCTTGCCAACTCCAGGCCCCTTTTGAGGCATCAGCACATTCAAATGACAAAGGCATCGGTTTAAAGATTCAACCGGTCAGCGGATGATTTGCCCCCTGTACGTATGGGGGCGGTGAGGCGGAAAATCGGCTGAAAAGGATCCTGATTGAGCTACCTCAGGTTAACTGGCACACCTTGCAACGGCCTCGCCACCCACCTCCCTCTCAAAGTGGTCAATGATTTGGGTTCTTGTTGGATTCGCTCCACTCTTCTGGTGGGTTTGAGTAGGAAGTGCCACCTCCAACGCCAGGTGAGTTAGAATATCTCCACCTTCAGCAGCTTTTGGGCAGTAGCGAGAAGCAGCTCTCGGCCCAGCTGCGTCAGGCACGTGAAATTCAAACAAGCGCGGGTAAACGGCGGGAGTAACTATGACTCTTAAGGTAGCCAAGTGCCTCGTCATCTGATTAGTCACGCGCATGAATGGATTAACGAGATTCCCACTGTCCCTACCGAGCGAAACCACAGCCAAGGGAACGGGCTTGGGATAACCAGCGGGGAAAGCAGGTCCTCCGTGCTTTGGGTGGTTGGCCCTTTACGAACGAGTCGTGAAGAAACCGTTGATTGCCCCCCAAAAACCTGGGAATGCTGGTGAGCCATCCCCAAGTGAACCTCCCAAAACCATCAGATCAGCCGGAGGTACAGGAGGCCCTGGAACAGGAGAAGCGAGCCTTGGCAAGATGATGGCTGTGGGAAACGCCGGTCTCAACGCTGTGGTATCACCAAATCCTTGCGGGACGTGGGTAGGTCCCTGTGAGGTATGGTTGCTTTGGAGCTTCGGGCCGGGATTCTGCAGCCCACGCCGCCGCGCTCGAGCCAGGACGGGTGAAGCAGCTCGAGCGGGAGAACCACAAGCGCGAGCGCTCGATCGCCCGCGCGGCGGAGCGCGCTGGGGGCGGTGAGCTGGGGCTGCTGGCGGTGGATGGCAATGCTCGGGCGTTGCGGGAGGCACGGAGAGTTCTTTTTCAGTGACGAGAAGCTACTAGGGTGGAGGCCGCTACTAAGGTGGAGGCCATTACTTATACTAATAACAAGAAGCTACCTCATTTGTTTTGGCTTCTTCCGTGGCTTCTTCGGCCGGGAGGGGCGACCGTGTCTTGTTCGTTCAGGTTGGGAGGGCCGGCCGGGATACGGCCGGGATACGCCTGTTCACGTTTCACCCGTGTTGTGATGGCAGGGGATGCCCATGTCGCATAGCGGCCCTATGTCGCCTCTTCTCATGTCTTCAACACCTGTGGAGATCGGGGAGGGACGCTACTGGCCGTTGTCCAGAGTTCAAACGTTGAAACGCTGGAGATTGAAATGGGCCTCGCGGCCTCATGTTTCCAGCTATAGTCTACTCATGTCTACTCTCTGGAGTTGTAGCCATGTCTATATATATATATAGAGAGATTTTTTTAAAGTTGTCTTGTTGAGATCATCTCTGGAGCAATTCCCTTGCTCTTGGTCGCCATGCTCTGGTGTTTTGCCGAAGCTCTGGTGTTGTTCTCGGCGCTGCAAGGCTCATGGTCTAAGTAGACTCTGCTTGCACGGTAGCCTTCGCAGACGAGCTTGACGAATCTCAGAGGTTGTATCCAAACCCAAGGACAAAAGCAGCAGCCAACTCATCAGGCCTTTCAAGGGCACAGTTGAGGCAAGACTTTCCCATCACCCACGCTTTGCCCGTCTCCCATCAGGAAGCCTTACGGCCAGTGCTTGCCAAGTATGTGCCCCTGAGGCTTAGCCCATCTGCGGTGTATCTGCTGCGAAGCTTCCGCCTCGAAGAGACGGTGGTGACTCAGGAGACGGTGGTGACCCCTTGCTCAGTTGGCTCGCTGGGACTGAACGGCAAAGAGAGACGAAAATATCACAGAACCCGGCGCGCGCCAAATCTAAACAAACATGCGATTGGACACAACACGCCCTTCACGCAGCTGCATCAAGGCCCCAGGCACTGCACCTCTTCGAGAAAGAAACACTGCCACAACGCCGTGCACAAGAAAACAGCGAAACAACCAGGCCACCATCTCGCAGAGACAAAAGCAGAGGAGTGGCACAGCGGTCAAAGCTGGCAGCCAAAAAGTCTAAACTCTGGAGTGAACCCCTGTGCACACACAAGAGAAGAAGACACTCTTCAAGGTGAATGCCTGGTGGAGTCTAAAGAGTACAGTTGAACCTCCAGAGAGAAACCTTGTGGTATACAACAACAAACCAACAAAAACCTCTGGAGTTCAGACATAAATGAAACCATGCAGAATAGCATTACAGTAACTCTGAAGATTAGGCCTATGAGCACATATGAACCGAGCACAAGTAGAAACTACAAAGACACTAGCTTTCAACTAAGGGAGAGTTTTCTCTGGAGTAAAGCCCTGGAACATAAAAAGAACGAAATTGAAACTCTATACCAGCACCTTCCAACAGGTCTCCTCTGGAGGCTTTTGTAGACTTAAAAGTCGCAGGTGGTGACCTGTTGGAAGGTCCTGGTAGTTTCAACCCCTGAACTCTGAAACTTCGCCTTTATCTCGGGGAGGTCGGCCCGTGAAGGCCATAAGTCATAAGGAATTCGGACGAGGCCTTAGGCCTTAAGAATAGTAGGTGAAGACCCAGATGGACGGTTTCTGTCGGCTCTTTTGGGTGCTCTAGAGCACGCCTAGCTGCTCACAGGGCTGCAGCTGCATAGTAAGAACTTGGGTGATAAGACATCACCAGCTCTGCATCGAATGGCTGAAGCAGTGGAGATGCCTCCCGAGACGAAGGAGGAGATCATCAATGCTCCGAAGTTAGCCTTCATTCCCGTCTATCAGCGCTGCACTGGCAGCGTCGATGATGAGCACATGGAGACCTTCCAGAAAAAGGCGGGCTTGTCTACAGAGGATGTGCAGGTGATGAAAGGCATCATCGAGGACGGCTTTCAGTACTTTGTTTGCATCCGCTGCTTAGCTCTGCAGTGTTTTTCCATGGCACCTCTTTTGGGCGGTGGTGCCGCGATGATCGCGCGCTTCATGACGCATGACTTTACGATCCCAATCATTATTGGCATTAGCTCACTGGTCACGCTCTTCATTGGCAGCATTCTTGGCCTCATTTGGTGGGTGAACAAGCACGAAACTGGACTGCAGGAAGTGCGGGGTTCCTTATGATTCTTCGAGACGCGTTTTTCCACAATTCACTTGCAGGTGATTGCTGTTTTATTGCTCATTAGCCTACAACACCACGATCAACATGACTTATTAGATCCATTTAGATCCTATTTCATGACCACGACACCACGGATGCTCCTTGTGGGGTGGGCTGCACGTTCATCCATGGGACTCAAGACAACAATGAGGACAAAACACATTAAAATGCCGGGAGGAAATAGCTTGGTAGAGAATGCAATCCAAAGGGTGAGGAGGATGGCAAGACTGACGGAAAAACACCACAGATCGAACTGGGGCCCGAGGGTCAGCTGCCGAGGTTCGAGTGTTTGGCTCAAGGGAGGAGAAGCAAACTAGATCTACCAAACTCCAGACTCCAGTCCATACTGAAGGCCCTTTTTCGAGATCAAAAAGTCGGTCCGCACTTATTTACTACCACTTTATTCAAGACTTTGTAAAACAATTGCTCATTGTTGGCTTCAAGCACTCACGAGGCCATATGAAACAATAGAATACATAACTAAAAAGTTATACAATTTCTAAAAACTGCATAGATTTTTTACCCGCCAAACGTTAAGACAACTATACACAATGCATATATTTTAGAATTCCATTTAGTGAAATATACTAAATTGAGCTGCGCACTCCCCAGGAAACTCAAGAGTCCATCGTTCTAAAGCTGCACGAGCGCTTTCCAAGCATGCTCTTCAAGATGAATTCTGACAGAGATTCAGAAGGTTTGGGGCTGTTGGTGCTCTACCCAACTCAGGTTTCGTTGCTGGTGTGAGTTGCGTTTGAACCAAGATCTGATGGATCCAGGCTGTCAGTGGCTGCCACTTTTCTCTGAGGGCCTGTGGAGCGGAGCCGTCAGAGATTTTGGAGCATTTTTTTGTCCATTCCATGGCACAGAAAAGGCCATGAGCAACTCTCTTCCGATTGGGTCATGAAAAGACAAGAAGTGGTTTCCGGTGTTCAAGGACAAAGAGGTCAGGATGTCAACTTGTTGAATGTTCAGTTTCATCTCTTAATCTCTTAGCTAAACTCTGTTTGTTATGCTGATGGTTGTGGCCTGCAGTTGTAATTATAACCTAATTCACGCACCCGTGCCCTGGATACTGTAGAACCGCGGCGCCCAGGGCGGGATTGTTTAAAAGCGTGGGAGCACCAGCGACAGTCGCAAGTCAACCCCTTGCATGGGACTGTCGGTAGAGGACATGCCTTTTCAAAAGAGTTCAACAGTATAGCTGCCTCCTCTTGCCAGACTTCGCATCGTTGCTCGACGCCATGGGCGAACACCTCATCTCTTGACCGTGACGACACAACGCCACGGGCGTTCCCCATGAGACGAGCCACAGTGATGCATTGTGCAGATCGCTTCAGCTGTGAAGTGTCAAAAGACATGCGCTTTCCATGCAAGACCATGGCATTTACCTGTCCAGTCGAAGTGTCATGTCGTGTGTCATGTGTGCTGCAAGAGATACGATGCAGTTGAGTACCAAATCATTGCACCTGCAGGTGGAACGGCTAGAGGCAGAACTGGAGGTGTTCCAAATGAAGAACTCCAACCTCCGCAAGCAGGTGGAGGAGGGGTTTCACCCGTGCTGGGCCGGTTGTTGTAGCTTCTGGTGTGGGTTTTTGGTGCTTTCCAGGGTTCGGGTTGAGGTTTCAAACGTCAGCAATTAAGTCTTAAGCGCTCTTTTTCACGGATTTCATTGGTTCTCCGGGCGCCTTCCCTTCCGAGAGCAGATACTGTAGTTGAACTGTTGATCTCCCAAGAATCAACACCTGCGCCAACACTGGACCTGTATATAATGAGCTCAGGCGGACGTTGGGTTTGAAACAGATCCTTTTGGCACCTGATGCACGGCCTCACGGCCGCATCTACAGCCTCGGCCTGCCGTTCGTGGGCGCCAGGACGAGGAGACCCGGTTGCAGCAGAATGTGCGCAGTCGCGAGGCGCAAGCGGTGAAGTATGAGACGCTCATGGCCAAGTTGGAGAGTGAGGTGCGAAACCCACGGCGCTGAGACGGAGGGGTTCCGGGTGGCCTGGTGGAACGTCTGAGCAGATGCAGTGTTTTTCTGCATTTGTGGCCGGGGGGATTGCCAAGTGTTCAAAGGTTTTGTGCTATACAGAAGACAGGGACAGGAGCAGTTGAGCGTTTTGAACGGCTAAGAAGGCGTTTGGCCCTAGCTCTTTTTATGGGCTCCGCAACTTGCAGCCCGTGGTGGATGTTCAATCATCCGCCGCATCCAATTTCTTTCGTTGTGGGTATTTTTGACTCACGTCCGTCTTCCATGCACAGATGATTTCAGCCTGTGACATGTTGTCTAAGTCATGTTTTGTGAGTTCTTCAGACCATTGGAGCCGCTTGGCCCTCTGTCCTCGTGGACACATATGATACATCCTGAGTCCTGAGTCACTTTCCTCCTTCCAAAGGCCAAAGAGCCTTTTGAACCGCCAACCTCCAAACCCATCGGAGTCCTCCACCGCCCGCCCGGCCAGGAGACCCAGCGGCGCTTGGCCGAGGAGCAGCGGCAGGTGGACTCGGAGCAATTGGAGGAAGAGCAGCTCAGGGCCGAGATCCGTCCGGTCCTTAGCGCCTCCATGCCACCCACTCAGCACCCACTCAGCCTGATGGTCCCCCCCCCCCTTCCGCCCGGATCCCGCGGTCGGGAGCCGCCCCCCTGGTCGCGAGTGCGAACCTGGCGTAGGGGTCCGTTCGGGGAACCGAAAAAAGGATGAAAAAGGGTGCATTGAAGCGAAGGTTGGGATGTCCTTCTCAAGGTTTTGTGCTGCGCACACATCGGATGAATTCCCGGCTTCTTTTTTTTGTGGGTGTGTGGTGCCCCCTGTGCCCCCCAAAAAGGGGCTGAAGGTTTGAACGTCGGAACTCGTTGGGCCGTTTGGACAGGCCGCTTGCAGGAGCAGCGGCGGAGTGGCGCGCGGAGTACCGAGCGAACGCTCAAGGATCGGCTGAGAAGGCTGGAGGAGCTGCGTTCGCAGCAGGTGGAGTCTTGGATGACGAAGAGAATAATGAATAAGGAGTAGTAGAATCCATAAGGAATTTCATATTAAGTCCACAAAATAATGGTTGCCGTAAAAATTAGTGAAATCCACAGAACATTGAATTTGCTCTTTTGAAGTTATTCTTCACCTTCATTTCTGGGATATCTTATGGTGGGTGGGCTGGTGAGGGTGGTAACCTGGTGTGCACTTTGTTGAGCTGTGAGTATGAGATAGTGTGAGTGTGGGGGGTGGAGCCAAAGGATGGCTTCAATCAGATCTCGCAGCCTGGTCAAAAGACTATGCTAAGGAACAAGAGAGCTACCTCACGCATTTGAAAGCCTCTGAACACCAGCTCCGTCAGCGCAAAGCCGCTGCGGCTGTGCGGAGAAGCCTCCGTCCCGAGAACAGTGGACCATCCGCCCTAGTGGTGTCACGGTGGCACTGTTGGTGGAGGGGTGTGTGTAGGGGAATATGAATGGGATCTCAGTCCAGACAATGTCAGCTGGTAGTTGGACAGCCCAAGCTTTGACACATCTATCACATTTAACATATGATGAGCTGACTTCACCGCCCAAGGATGAAGACATCATGCCCTTGGCTCCCAATGATGACCTGGTCGAGCCTTGCACTGCCCAGGTGGTGGAGGGTGCGGATGCAGGAGGGTTGGAGAATCCTTCAGAGGAGAGCCCCGACCCAGTCGGAGTTGCTGAGGATTTTAGAGAAGTGGAGGTGGAGGATGCTTCAGGAGCTGGGGAGGGGGAGCAGGGAGAGGCAGGAGATGCGAAGGATGGGGAAGTGGAGCCGGAGGAGGAGCAGCACGCGGAGAAAGAGGAGGAGAATGAGGAGATGAAAGAGAAGGAGGAGCATGACGCGGAAAACCAGGAGAGGGAGGAGACAGATGAGAAGGAGAATGAGGAGAACGAGGAGAAGGAGAAGGACGAGGAAATCCCTGAAGTCGAAAGGGCCCACTTCGAAATGGCAGAGCTCCATGGAGTCTCTGATGATGAGGTTCCGGAGGAAGAGGTCCCTCCGGTGGCTGTTGAGGCCAGCTTGGATGAGGTAGAAGATCCTCATGAAATGGATGCAGAGGAGAGATCTCAGTCAGAAATCGAGGCTGCAGGAGGCGTGATCTCTGCGGCTGAGGCTCCGAAAGATGCGTCAGATCCTCCCGTTGCGGAGGTATGTGAGGAGGCTGTGAGACAGGAGGCCTGGGGCCAAGGCTTTAGTTCTTCATACAGTTCCATGTGGATCTGGGAGAAAACACCTCTCACAATCGCTGTTCACACAACAGTCACTCAACCACAGTTAAATTGTGAGCCAAAAGTAGTAGCACGCTTGCGGCTCTGCGCCTCAAAAGGGTAGGCCAGAGAGAAGAAAGATTGCCCCAACATCTTTCTAAACCCCCATTGGTCCCAGATACTTTCACGATTTCCACTGGGGGGAGGTTCACCACGCTGTCCCAGACTCACTCGGCCCCGAGCGGGCCGAGTCTTGATCGCGGCCCTGCGAGGATGCGGCTGTGGACCCTGCGGATGGAATGGATGCCGTAGACGTGGCCCACTCGTTGCTGCCTCCATCCTCAGAGGCCACTGCCCAGGTGGAGGTGCGTGCTGAGGATGGGGCGAAGCGAGCCTTGGCAGGTTTTGGTGTGGGGTCTTGAGGCCCCGAAGGGCTCCAACAGTTTGGCTTGGTTGTGATCCCTCTCCCGAAAGACATCCAAGCCTGCAGTGAATGGTCAATGGTGGGGTGTTTTGCTACGAGAGCTGCAGGATTGCCAGGTCAGACAGGGAGTGATGGATGTCCCACACATCATACACTCCGACTCACCAACATGGAAGTGGATGGCATCGTCCCTTGGAAGACTACTTACCTTTACACACCAGGGGGTGCTATCCACGAAACCATTTGATGTGTTCGGAGTGAATATGCACGATGTGGAAGCCGTGGAAGTGGGTCAGGACCTGAACCTGGACCAATTGTGGGGTGTTTTTCACCTCCCTTGCGCCCGTCAGCTAGTCCAATCTGTTCCTGCACTTGGGTATATCAAGGGGTTCCAGAGTTGGGACCCGCTGCTGGGATTTGCTAGGTATCAAGATTTAGATGTTGCTTTGCATCTTTTTTATGGCTCGCGCCATTGCCGGCTGGTTGAGCCAGGGCAGCCAGGTCAAGCCTTGAGCCTTTTTGTTCAAACACTGGTTTTCAGAGTTGGTCAGTTTCGAAGCTAAGGCACGATTTGGCGGGGTGTTTGGAAGAACATGACCAGCTTGTGCGTCGTAAGACCAGCTTGGAGAGAGGGAGAGCCAGCAAATGGGCTGAAGGACTCTCTCCCAAAGGCGGGTGTTTGGTCAAATTAGGCACCTTTCCTCCGGGTTGCAGTCCGAGGCCACGTTGCCATCCCCAAAGCTCCCGGCCTTCCCAAGTGTCGTGGCGGCAACTCCTCGGAGGGTATAGCAGGCTGCACTGCTGCGCATCTGATTTTAGTGGCACCTGAGATTTGTAAAGGCCAACTTATATAGAATGAAGCAGAGTGAACCTTCTCATTTGTGGACCGGGGCGCCCAAAGACCTTCCGAGGATGTTGACCCGCCAGCTCGCATGTTTGCAACTGGGGTCTTGGGCCATTTCAAGATCCAGAGAACTTCAACATCATGAGCGCCGACCACTTGCGGATGTACATCCATACAAACCACCTGTTGGGGGTCTTGTGTCAATTCTTAACATCACCGTGAAGAGGAGGAGAAGCCAGAGCATTGGCCGCCGGGTTTTCCATCGCCGCCGATCCTTCGGGGCCCTCGTCCTGTCACCATGTCCTATCCAAACAGTGGGGATAGGAATTGGTCCGACTCACCTGTGGGCCATGGGCACGTGTGGGACATGGGCACTCACTCAGGCCGTTGGACCCGCTTGGGCGAAGTATGAGTTCCGGGTAAGACAAGTCACAAGACTGTTCCACTCCACACAACCAGATCGTGTGGGAGAGCTTGGGGGCTCAGGAATCAGCATGTTTTCTCAATCCCACTTGCTTCGGGACTTGCGCAGAACCTGGGGACAGCGCTTCCAGCATCTTCCAGCAGTCTATATAAACGTTTTGTGCCAATCCCTACAACCTTGACAGGATATCCGCAGCTGCGCTGCGTGCTGCACTTTGACCCACCAGCTTGGCATTTTCCACCAAACCAGGCTTCTCTCCATTTCGCCTAGCTCAACGGCCAGCCGCGCCTCGCTTCGCCCCCGTGCGTTCTGCGTCCGCGGAGGCAGAAGCGCAAGGCGACCCGGCGCCGGAGCGGATCGAGCCTGGCCAGCCACACGAGCCATGGCAGTCGAGGCGCGCCAAAGGGGCAGAGAGCGCGCGCGGGCGGGTTCTGGCGCTCTCCGGCGAAAACCTTGGGGTTCCATACAGAGGCCGTTTCAGCCGACGGAGAGGGGGGTCTTCGGAGGCCCCAAAAGTGGAGCGTTTCCAGACTGCCCTGGCCTGAAGTCCCAGTTCGTGGGTGAGTGTGTGAAGTCTATGGTGGCGAAAAGACGTCCCTTTCAGTGGGATGTCTCAGTCAACGCCTGCATGCAATGATCCTAAACACAGGACGCACGCACAACCATCCACCAAACAAGCGTTGTGCATGTGTAGCCCATTGCTATAGGCAGCCATACAGTGCAACCGCCTCTGCCAGCTAAAAAAGACGCCAGTGCAAGAAAGACCTCCGCTGATGTTGAAGTGCCACTGACAACAACAAATGGCGCATTTATTGCTCAGCGCCTCTGTCTGTCCAGTCCGGACCCCTTTAGCTTCGACCAAGTCTGACCCATTTACACCTTTCAAAAGGCTCTAAGGGCTCGAGATCCGATTCGAACCCCCCGATGGCATGGATCCAGATCCGATGGCATGGCAATGCATGGCATACCCTATATGAGACAGTCACGGACGTTGTCCCTCAGGTTCCATGGGGATTTCGTCCCCAGGAAGCGAACCGGCAGCTCTCGGCCAGGCAGCTCCCGCAGCTCCGCACGGCGGGCGCCCTTAGAGTGCCGCGTGTGTCTAAAGAGGACGGTGTGGGATCACGGTGGAAGCAAGATTGGATTGGACATCTAAGGAGGCATGTTCCATGTTTTGCTAGATGCTGCTTAGCTTATCCGACCTCTTCCTGTTGGTTTTTTGGGGGGGGGCCTCCGGCCTTCCGGTGGACCGAAGAACACGTCGAGCGGCGCGTCCTGGCTTTCGGTTGACCTCCCTAGAGCCTGTTTCTCCCTGGTCAGTTGACCTCCTTAGTCGTCTCCTCTGTTTTTGGAGCGGTCCCCCGGTGTCTCCTCAGGCATCGACTTCTAGCGGCCTTGAACGATCGCTTTCTGCCTACCGAGGTGAAGGGCGTGAAGGAGCCTTACAGATTCGACTCGGTGCTTGCAGCACTGACATGTAACGGTAGGGCTTCCCGGAGAAGTGGATCAAATCCTTGAAGATACATGTTCGATTATATGTTCGACATGCAAAAACATGGTCAGTCCAAGTCCTTTCTCATGGTTGGCCACATCCTCTTTGATGCGAGACCCCGTCCGCCATTTCTGAGCCTACGGGGCAGGCCTGTGGAGAGTTGATGGACGGCGGGTGGCCTCGCCCCAGTGGGTGCAACAGCCCAGTGCCCAAACGGAGAATAGGAGAATTGAGGATGTAGGGTTCCCAGACATGTTGATATGTTGATAGCTATGTCAATGGCTATGTCACGTTATGGATATGTATGGATATGTCATTCCTGTTTTTGGAGATTTCCACTCTGACTCACTAACAGTGGAAGTGGATGGCAGGTTCCTTTAAACAGGACCACTTTCCTTTGCACACCGGGGGGTGCTATCCACTTCCATGTTCATGAGTCGGAGATTTGCACTTCCACTCTCTTGAAATTCATGCTTCCGTGGATGGCATGGCCCCTTTTGGTTCGCCAAAAAAGGCCATGAAGTCCGAAGACCAAGCAGGTTTGTAGTACCATCCCACCATGATTTCAGGCAGTGTAGAGACCCAAGCACCGCCGGGGGTCGGGGCGCTGAAAGCGACTTCGCCCGCAGAAGCTGGGGGGTCGCCACAGAATCTCCGGCGAATTCGGACGTTCGATGTTTCACCCCGTTTGCATGAGAAACGAGGTGTACAGATCACGTGCTGAGGGGACCTGACTGAAGAGACCTCCCAAGCAGCGAAGGCAGCGAACGCCCCAAGCATGTGAGACCTCCTTGGCAGAGTGGCTTAGCGTCTCCCTGCTTTGGCCGACCAAAGGGCTGGGTGCAGCCCATGGGGGGGGGGCTGTGGTGGTGAAGTGTTTTGGTAATGATCATAAATGATACTGATAGCTTCTTGTTACTACTAGTAAGGCACTTGTTGCTAGAAGCGATGCACTTGTTACTAGTAGCTTCTTGTTTATCTCCCTTTGGACACTCTGCGTTTTGGGAAGCTCATGTCAGCAGCGATCGGCACTTCATTTATCTTGAGTCCGTCTTAAGTATTTTTGAATGTTCTTGGCATGTCGCTTGTTGGTACGCGGACCGTCACCTCAGAAGTACTTGTTTGAACAAGAAGTGGTTCCAATGCGAATGGCGCTCGGTGTCAGTTCTTTTGAAGCAGCTGCACATCCTAAGGAACACACTGTATTGATTTGGTAGCTATAGTTCTGGTGGCCACGAACGAAAGCAACGACTCCGGAGTCGCCCATGCACGGAGCGTGAGGCTTCCATCAGGGTTCCACCATTTGCCGGGTCCGTGTTCCCAGCCGAAGCGGCTGCAACTGGGGGCTCCAGCATGTTATTGCGAATGCTGCGGTTGGGCCCGCGACAGGGCCTTGCGGCCGCAGGCGCGTGTCGACCGGACTTGGGGCGACCTACAGCGACCTAGGCCCTACCCCCCCGAGACAGTGCTTGAAACGAGTCGATGAGTCGATGAGTCTAGGGGTTGGATGCTGTGGAAGCGGCTTGGCGCTGTCAAAGTCTTCGATTTTTGCCATGATTTTTCTGCGGTCATTCAGATCGCAAGTCTGATTCTCTGGTAGCCATCCTGGAGCAGGTCGATCAGGTGCAGGAAGTTGAAACCATGGAAGACTGCTCTGCATCTCCCAGTGCTAGGGTGGAGGCCATCGCGGAGGCCATCGCTAGTAGGTTGGAGGCCATCGTTACTAGGGTGGAGGCCATGGCTACTAGGGTGAAGATCTCCATTTTCAGCTTCCGTGAGGTCCTCATGGGCTGCAACAGCAGTGCAGTCGCTGTGCCTGAAGCGGTTGCACCCTCCACGGAGGCACAAAACACCAAAAGTGGGATGACACGTCCCGCATTCATGAACCCTAGAAGTCCAAAGACTATATATTTTTGGCACCACCCCAGCACAGGACATTCCTTGTTGGATCACCTGAAGCCCGTTTTAAACATGGTCTCGGACTCCCAGGTTGAATGTACATGTGCACTCCTTGCCACCATGCCACCTCACAAAGCCCTTCACCAGGTGGTGGCCGTGGAAAGCCTTGATGACGGCTTGGACCGCTTGCCAGAGCTCAGTGTCTCTCAGCCACTACACGCACCCGATGATGCAGCTGCCTCGACGGGCCAAAAGAGCCACTTCGAGGAGCGAACGAGAGTCCTCACGGTCCGTCGCGGGGTCCGCGCCCGCGCCACGCCGAACCGCGCGGTGCGAGCGCCGATTCTCGAATCCGCCGTCGAATCCGCCGATGGAATCAGCGGCCCGTTGTTCCCAATCGGCCGGGAGGACGAGCCGCGAGTTCCCATGGCCTCGCCCGAGAGAGAGGCGCGCGACGCCAAGAGCGAGGCGCTCCGCGTGACCAAGCCCAGCCCGACCGTCGCCCGGAGAGAGGGCCCGGCGGATGGAAACGAGTGAGATTGAGAGGAGCACACAGAACACCTGGATGTTCAAGAAGTGTAAGGAACAGCACGAACACTGCTAGTATGGTATGAAGGCAAAGAGCTTCTGGTCCCATGATTGACAGCAAGCATCCTTGGGCCCTCCAAAAAAAGAATCTCTCGAAAGTATAACTTGGAGAACCACATCTGGGCTTGGACATGGCTTTCCAATGTTTCTCGACTCCCGTGTTTCGCCCTCACCATTCAGCCGGCATGCAGGTCACGCCATAGTAGCCGCCCAACCCACGCGCAAAAAGCGCTTCCTTCAACCCCCCTACGTGGTGGTCGCTCCCCCACCACGTCGATCCGAGGTCAGCGTGAAGAGCGGCGGCGCGTTGAGCGCCAACGCCTCGCCCTTCCGCTTGTCGGTCTTCTCCACCTCGACGGACCGAAGTCTGCCAGGCTGGTGGGGGGCAGTCGGTCAGCGGTCAGCGGTGCGAAGGGAAGCGAAGTTCCAAAGGAAGGTGATGGCTGAGGCCCAAAGGAAGTGAATCCATTGGCCCAAAGGAAGTCTTTTTTTGCATTGAGGCCTGGGATGGTGTTCAGTGGGTGTGAGCACAATGTGAGTGTGGTCAGTGGCCTGATCAAAGATCATTAGTTGATTCAAACGTGGAAACTCTGAAAAGCCTGAGAGAAACTGGAAAGCCTGAGTGCTGTTGGAACACATCCCGACCCCCTGAAAGAGTTTCACGTGAATCTGGATATGGAAGGGATCCAGGGGAGCACTTAAGTTAACAGTAGGCACATGTGGGAGACAAGCACCATAGTATGGGGTTCAAGATGCAAGTGGCCTTGGGAAAGCCTTTCCATTGGAAGTTGGAGCTCGTTCTTTTGGGAGAGTCGTCCGTTATGGATCTCTGTTTAGGCTGACAGAGGAGTCCAGCAGTGTGTCAGGAACTCAATATCACTTGAATCGTGGGGTTTAGCTCTCCATTCCTCGCCTACTCCGACCGCAGCAGGCGACAGCGCCTTCCTGTGGGGGAGCCCTCAAGTTTTGTTCCAGCGGTTCCAGCAACAAGCAGTACGCGGCGAGACCTGGCAGTTTCATCTGGCATTGCCGTGTCATGTGCGGATGTAGCTCTTGGTTTGAGCCCATGCAACCCACCAACCTGAAGCTGGTCTCGTCGTTGAGAGCAGACCAAATCCGGCCACAAGAAAGACATCCAACTGATTTCGCACGTGAGCCAGACTTGAAAGTTCACGGTCCGGTCGTTTTGCACCCTTTTCATTCCAGGACCCTCCTGTTTTGGGGTGTCCAAGACAGATCCCTAACTACGAGTGACTTAGTGCAGTCCATTGGACACCTAAAACAGGATGGTCCTGGTACTGGTCGATCTTGTTTCGTACCCGACGAGTTGGACGACCCCCTGGGGCCCAAGGAGAGCCTCTACGACAGCGACGACGAGCACAGCGGATCGCACCGCCGCCGCGGCGCCACGGCGTTCGGCGCCTTGGGCAGCGACCTGCCGTTCCTGAAGTGGTCAGAGCCGCATCGCTTCCGGGAGAGGCGGGGTGGAGGGTTGGGTTTCGGTAGCGGCTGACCGGGCTGGGAGTTGGCCGAATCAGAACCCTTCGCAGTCCCTGTTTGACCGTGTTCCTGCGCCGTGGATCGTCCCTTGCTTCGCCCAGGGCGCGTGACGGGCGCGGGGAGAACCCGGCGCGCTGGGCCCAGCCGCGGGCGTCGCGTCGGGGCGCCGCGGGACCCGAGCGGACGCCCGAGCCGCTGGAGCCGCGGCTGACGCCGGAGGAGCAGCAGCGGCTGGGGAAGCTGGCGGCCCGCGCGCGTGAGGTGGGAGGTGAGGGAGCGGAGGCTAGTGGTGGGACTGGGCCCGGGATAGCTGGGTAGCTGCATGCGGCAAATGCCGCAGAAGCCTAGCACCACTGCGAAATTGTGCTTGGTTTGGCAGACAGATCTTGAGGTACTCGTGTTCGTGGATGGAATCTTTAGCCACGTGGTCGGAAGCTGCTGCAGAAGGAACTCGTGAGTGGTGAGGAGAAGTTGGTAGCTTGAAAGGCATCTCGATTTTACCTGCGTTTCCCTATTTCCCACACTTCCTCTTATGTCCCCACAGGTGCGCGAGCTCATACGGCCGCAGCTGAAGTCGGAAATGGACCTGGCAGAAGTGGCGGGGCAAAACGCGCCAGCGGTGGGAGGGAAGGGGAGAAGGCCGGAAGCGTTCTTCCATGATTGCAACCCACAATTCCACTCACAACGGCAGGCTTTCGATGGGTGGCTTTCGAGGGCCAGGATGTTGCAAGAATCCAGGTGCTCCATTCAGAATTGCCATTTTCATCTTCAGAAGACCATGGTCCCTTTGTCCACGGCTGCCTTCGCTCTGTCCCACCTGAGGTCATCGATCAGGTGGCCCGTGCGAATCACTTCGTGGATGCTTGTCCCCAGGGCGCCGGTTCCGGAACCGCGCCGGACCTCGCGGGTCGCGGGACTCGGGGGACCTGCACCAGGTCCATTCATGACTCGATCTGCGCCACGATGGACTGGAGGGGCTGCGGATTCCGCGGACCCGGCCGGACCCGGTCGCGGCACGCGGCTTCCCGCGGCGCCGAGGCGGAGTCGCTGCCGCACGCCGCCGAGACGCTGGGCGTGCATCCCAGCGGATTGGTCTTTCAGGTGGGGACGTGGGATTGGAAGCGGACGTTGAGATGGTTTGGGGGAGCGGGGAAGAGTGGGACACCGAGTTTGTTGACGCATGGCATGGTGTGTATTTTTTCCCAGGGCCCACTGCCTAGGGCCTAGCACAGGTCATGGTGGCCCGGTTTCGTTGCTTGGGAGGGTTGCTTTGGAAGGACTCGCGCGTGGTGTCAGTCACAAATGGGGGGACGGGGTGCCCATGATTCACTCAGGAACCCCTATTTTTCTGGTATTTTTTCCAATTTTTCCGGATTATTTTTTTCACATTTTTTTCCCTACTACTTTTGCTTCTGCTTTCGCTTTTTGCTTCTGCATTTTCTTTTGCTTTTCCTTCTGCATTTGCTTTTTGCTGCTGCTTCTGCTTTTGCTTTTTGCTTTTTGCTTTTGCTTCTTCATCTGCTTTTGCATTTGCTTTTGCTTTTTGCTTCTGCATTTGCTTTTGCTTCTGCCTTTTGCTTTTTGCTTTTGCTTCTGCATGTGCTTTTGCATTTGCTTTTCCTTCTGCATTTGTCTTTTGCTTCTGCTTCTACTTTTGCTTCTGTTTTTTGACGTTCTGCACTTTTTTGCGTTCTGCTTTCGCTTTTGCTTCGGCTTTTGCATTCTGCTTTTGCAATTAGAGCCTGTGCTGCTGCGCTGCTTGCAGTGGCCAGGGTCTAACGAGCGTGAGTTGCTGCAAGGGGACAGCTTTCAACACTGCGCTGGTTGCAGCAAAGACCCTGTGCTGCTGCAAGTGGCCAGCTTCCACAGCTGCGCTGCTTGCAGTGGCCAGGGTCTAACGAGTGTGTGTTGCTGCAAGCGGCGAGCTTCCCACTCCTACGCTGGTTGGAGTAGAGGCCCTGTGCTGCTGCAAGTGGCCAGCTTCCAAAGCTGCGCTGCATGCAGTGGCCAGGGTGTAACGAACGGGTGTTGCTGCAAGCGGCCAGCTTCCAATGCTACGCTGGTTGCAGTAATGGCCCTGTGCTGCTGCAAGTGGCCAGCTTCCAAAGCTGCGCTGCTTGCAGTGGCCAGGGTCTAACGAGTGTGTGTTGCTGCAGGCGGCCAGCTTCCCACTCCTACGCTGGTTGCAGTAGAGACCCTGTGCTGCTGCAAGTGGCCAGCTTCCAAAGCTGCGCTGCATGCAGTGGCCAGGGTGTAACGAACGGGTGTTGCTGCAAGCGGCCAGCTTCCAATGCTACGCCGGTTGCGGTAAAGACCCTGTGGTGCTGCAAGTGGCAGCTATTCCAAGTTGACTACCCTTTGATGGCCCTTCCAAGTTGGCCCACCCTTGGGTGACTCACCCGAGGGTAAAGTTTAGAGAAGGATGTTGCCATTCCAAGTTGACCCACCCCTTGTGTGGCAATGCAGGGTTGAAATTTAGAGAAGGAAGTGGCCATGCCAAGTTGACACCCTTTTGTCGGCCATGCAGGGGTAAAATTTAGAGAAGGATGTTGCCATCTCAACTTGACTCACCCTTTTGTGGGCAATGCAGGGGTAAAATTTAGAGAAGGATGTGGCCCTCCCAAGTTGACTCACCCTTTGGTGGGCCACTTGAGGGTAAAATTTAGAGAAGGAAGTGGCCATTCCAAGTTGACTCACCCTTTTGTGGGCCATGCAGGGGTAAACTTTGGAGAAGGATGTTGCCATCTCAACTTGACCCACCCATTCAATGCAGGGTAAAATTTAGAGCAGGATGTTGCCATTTCAACTTGACTCACCCCTTGTGTGGGCAATGCAGGGGTAAAATTTAGAGAAGGAAGTGGCCATGCCAAGTTGACTCACCCTTTTGTGGGCAATGCAGGGGTAAAATTTAGATAAGGATGTTGCCCTCCCAAGTTGACTCACCCTTTGGTGAGCCACTTGAGGGTAACATTTAGAGAAGGAAGTGGCCATTCCAAGTTGACTCACCCTTTTGTGGGCCATGCCGGGGTAAAATTTAGAGAAGGAGGTTGCCATCTCAACTTGATTCACCCTTTTGTGGGCAATGCAGGGTAAAATTTAGAGAAGGATGTGGCCGTGCCAAGTTGACTCACCCTTCTGTGGGCCATGCAGGGGTAAAATTTAGAGAAGGATGTTGCCATCTCAACTTGACTCACCCTTTTGTGGGCAATGCAGGAGTAAAATTTAGAGAAGGATGTTGCCATCTCAACTTGATTCACCCTTTTGTGGGCAATGCAGGGGTAAAATTTAGAGAAGGGTGTGGCCCTCCCAAGTGGACTCACCCTTTTGTGGGCCATGCAGGGGTAAAATTTAGAGAAGGATGTTGCCATCTCAACTTGACTCACCCTTTTGTGGGCCATGCAGGGGTAAAATTTAGAGAAGGATGTTGCCATCTCAACTTGACTCACCCTTTTGTGGGCAATGCAGGGGTATAATTTAGAGAAGGATGTTGCCATCTCAACTTGGTTCACCCCTTTGTGGGCAATGCAGGGGAAAAATTTAGAGAAGGATGTGGCCATGCCAAGTTGACTCACCCTTTGTGGGCCATGCAGGGGTAAAATTTAGAGAAGGATGTTGCCATCTCAACTTGACTCACCCTTTTGTGGGCAATGCAGGAGTAAAATTTAGAGAAGGATGTTGCCCTCCCAAGTTGACTCACCCTTTGCTGGACCACTCGAGGGTAAAATTTAGAGAAGGGTGTGGCCATTCCAACTCTTTTAAGTGAGCAATGCAGCGGTGAAATTTTGAGTACGCAGCAACATTCGGGAAAGGGCCTGTGTGCGCACTTGCGTCCCCCCGCTGGGGTGTGTGCGCGCTTGAGTCACCAAGTGCGTGCGCAGATGAGGCGCAAGGGCTGATAAAATGTGTGTGCGCACTTGAGTTCAATCCGTGTGCGCGGATGAGGCGCCGTCCGTTTCCACCCGAGGGTAAAGTTTAGAGGAGGAAGTTGCCGTTGTTCCTTGTCCCCTACAAAAGCCTTCATTAGAATAGTGATGCTTCATTAGTCATTAGACTAACAACTATATAAAGCTTTCGAAATGTGATGTCGCTGTGCCATGCCGTTTTTGCGTGACCTCGGTGGAAAGTGCGTTTGCGTGGATATCCGTGCCATTGGGGGAAGGAAAGCCTGCTGGTGTAAACACGGCGTGTCATGGTGGATAGACAGGGTGGACAGAAGTGGGCAGTTACGGTTGTTTTTAGAACCTAATTTTAAAGTAAGCTTGGCCGTATGACTTGGCAATAACGCTGCGTAGCACTGTCCTTGCGTGGGAAGTCGAAAAGCTGCAAACCATGAAGGGGGAAGGCCGCAGATTTGAAGACTGGCCGCAAGCCGAGTGCCACCTGGACCAACAGGTCTTGAAAGGTGACGTGGCATTGGCACGGCAGGGCCGAACCTCGGCGAAGAGGCTGTTTGAACTGCAACAGCATGTCTGGTGGAAAGACCCAGCCGACAATGTATGGTTCATGGTCCCTTCTTCCATGCTGGCGGTTGCTGGCACATATGGCAAGAAAAAGACTTACCAACCTCATCAGCCAGTGACACTTCCACGCAACGCCCTGCAGCATCTTGCGACATTGTGCACTGCAGAGTCCCTCGCTGTTGCTTCTCGCGCCCTTTCTGAGTTAAACGAGTTAAAAGTGTTTGATGTTGCTTCAGGCTCCTTGGGCTTTGGGGCGGCAGAGCGGGTCTTTGCAGATTGGCGCTGTGTTGTAATGGGGCCGAAGGTGCAGGACTGTTGGCGCTCCCACCGCCAAGATCCAGAAGGCAACCACCATATTCGCACCTTGTGCTGGTTTTGTGAGACTGCCGCAAAAGCAGGGTCTTGTGTGCATAGCTACTGTGCGTTGTTGCATGAGGGTTTCTTGTCCACTGCTCTGGCTGCGCAGCCTCGCAAAAAGGGTCGCCCACGTAAAGAGCATCAAGCTCATCCCTCTGTGCCTGTTTCCGGCTCTCTTCTTTTGCCTGGCCCACTGCTGTCCAGCTCGCCTCAGCCCAATGTCAGCTTGTCTCCAGCAGTCCTGCCTGCGTCTGAGTCTGGGTCTACTACTCTTCTGGAAGTCTTGCGTTCTGCTGGGCTTGAATCTCTCCGCAAGCGATTTGTGTCCCAGGGTGCCACAGTCTCGATTCTTCGCGACATGAGCTACACGGACTTTCAATCCTTCTTTCAGCTCTCCCTGGATGCACACCGCCTCAAAGTCGAATTGGCAAAGGCCGGGTTCTGATTTCGTAAGATTCAGTTCAATCATATCACACCTCTCGTCCGTTGCGCTCGTTTTGTGGTGCAGGTGACACCGCCAACTGCCATGGCCTTAGATACGTTTAAGAATGAGGGAAAGGAGGTTGGAAATTTGAACGCTGGGCAGACCTTGACCTGTTGAGGCTGCCACCAATGAAGTCTTGGCCTCAGAAACCTAGATTCCGTATACGCTTCGGTTTTCCTGGGCATTTTGTCCGTTGTGCTCGTTTTGTGGTCCAGGTGATGCTGTCAACTGCCATGGCCTTAGACACGTTTGAGAACGAGGGAGAGGAGGTTGGATCTTTGAACGCTGGGCAGACCTTGACCTCTTGAGGCTGCCGCCAATGAAGTCTTGGCCTCAGAAACCTAATTTCCGTATACGCTTCAGTTTTCCTGGGCATTTCGTGCAGTCTGACAACCAGAAACGCTTGGAAAGGGCATGCTGCACACTTCATTATTCGGTTCGACCCGGCTTCCGTTTAACCTATTTTCGCCCGCTTGCCGACTTGGCTGTTGTGCGCGTTCTTCAGGCCGGCCCCGCGAGGCCAACTCCAGGAGCGGCCCACGACTAAGCAACGTTGCGTTCCCTTCAGTTTGTCCTTCGCTTCCACTCTATGTACCCCACCGACTTTTGCATATCTAATTCCTCAGGCGCTTGCCGCGCCCAAAGCAGTCGTGACCTCAGTGCTCACGTCATTTTGGCCTAATTTCTCGTGGCATTTCTTGTTCTTGTTCCTTGCGGCAGGCGGAATCGCCCAGGCAACTTGTCTTTGCCCTAGGCCCTAGATGCTTTCAAGCGGCTTCGTGCTGCCGCGTACATCGTGACTCGCTATGCTCGTAAACGCCCAGGTGGCCAAAGATGCCCAGAACCTAAGCCGTTGCTTTCCTGCTTCCATGGTCGGATGGAGTCGCGACTTGCTTGTATCCGAGGCCCGCACGCAGCGCAGCTATGAGCGCTTAGCCGCTTACGGATTGCGTCCGCTGCCACCACAGTGAGCACAAAAAGGAATCCAAGAGTGCCAAATTATAAAAAGAAAAGCATATAATAACTGTATATGTGCCCAGCCACTTTCCTCACTTCTCCTTCGTTTTTAATGGTCTATTTCTTTTTCTCTCTCTCTCTCTCTGTCTCTCTCCCTCTATCTCTCTCTCTCACAGCCACATATATAAACTGTATGTGGAAGGCGAAGAACTCCTAAGAGATTCGAAACCGGAAGACAACGGCAAAGAAGTCCCTATTATCGTTTCCCTTTCCCATTCATCGCTGCCCCTTCTCCTTGGCTTTAATCTTTCTCTCTCATCGCAACATATATAAACTATATGTGGAAAGCCGAAGAACTCCAAAGAGACCCGAAACCGGTAGACAACCACAAAGAAGTCCCTATTATACTTCTTCTCTCCACTTTCCTCACTGCTCCTTCTCCTTCGATTTTCTTCTCTCTCTCTCTCTCGCGCGTACATATATATTTTTTTCGAATCCGAGAAATTCTTTAAAACATGAAGCCGGAAGAACACCTAAAGCACCCCTAAGGACAAGAAACCGAACCCAAAGAAACCCGAAACCAGTGAAACCCAAAGACTACCGCAAAGAAGTCCGTATAGTAAGTGGGATACCTTTTCTGTTCCCTCCCTTTCTCTCCATCACGCTGGCTTTGGCGCTTCGTCCCCTGCCCTTGCACTCCCAGCAGAAGCCAAAGCAAAAAGCAAAAGCAAAAGCAGTAGGGGAAAAAATGTGAACAAAGTGTACGGAAAACAGTTGAAAAACGGAAAAAATCTCCATCCATTCACTCACTTAGGATCACTTAGGGACTCAAAAACCATCGTAACTGGCGTGAGATGTTGTTTCTTTTTCATGTTTTTTCTCGGATGGTCGGATGGTCTTTGAGTGGAGTCAAACGCGGACTGCTTTGGGGCGGATCCGCTGATCGTCTCCGATCCCAAGCTTTGACCCCAACATAAATGGTACCTGAAGAGTTATACCTCCAGCATGGTAACATGGGTGGGCCGGGTCCGTCCTTATTACCTGTAACAGTCTGTAAAGAATTATTACTCTTTTTTGACAAGGACCTTACCAACCATCACCATCCACGGTTACAGGCAATAGGATAGACCCAAGGTGGGCCGAAATCTAAGAGTCCTTCCAGTTTTGAGTTTGTTCGTCTAGGGCCTTGGAGGTGTCTGAGAGATGGCATCATGTGAACAAACCCACGCAGATTCACCTCCCTTGTGCCTGATGGTGAGGCCTTGCTGTTGAGAGCAGGCGCCAAGTACGGTGGCCGTGGTAGTTCAGCGCCTGCAGTGCCCTGGGCGGAAGGGGGGCGCGTTGCTGGAACTGAAAGTGTCCGCTGGCACTTGAAGTCCCCAAAGACCGAGCCGGCGCCACAACTCTCTCGGCCACCGTGGCGCAGCAGAGTTTCGAGCGAATGACACTGCGCATGGTCCCAGAGAGGGTGGTGGACTCCATGATGGGTTTCTTTTTAAACCTCAAAATCCCCAAAGGGTGCCTCTTTCATTCTATTATCATGGGCCCTTGGAGGTGCTTCGCGGTGTCCATTGACCCGCCACCGCCACTCGCCCAGGTGGAGTTAGAACCAACCCTCAGTGAGGCAAGAGGGAGGAAGAGCCTGAGCTGAGGGAAGCCATCTTGAGAGACAACAAATCAACAGCACTTGGATCTGAAGCTTGAGACCCCCAATGGGGCCAGGGTCTATACATATTTGACAGATATGGCCTGTGGCCACCATTGGAGTCTCAATCATAAGCTAAACAGATCATCATCTGATATCATATGTAATAGCGTTTCATCGTCTTGAAACACCTTAAAAAGAGGTGTTTGCTGGCTCTCCTGGCGAGGGCAAACTGTGCGATGCCCATTGATGTCCCAATGTGTAGATCAATCCGGCATGCCTTCCGGGCACCGAGGTGGTCACAGAGACACACACACACACACATTTTGGAAGTCGTAGGAGGTTCACGACACCTCCCGAAGATTCTAGGTTCCTTCCAGTCAAGAGGCACCCTTGTGTTAACCCCAGGTGACTACAGTGTCAAGGAACAACGTGAACGAACTAAGCAAAGCCTTTCGGTCCGAACCTGCCACTCGCACGTGAGCCTTCTCTTCTCAAGCCAGGGCAAGGTGGAGAAGCTGGCCTGGGCAGCACGAGAGCTCACTGAACTGTTGCGGGTGAAGATCCAGGCCAGCGTGGATTTTCGTGAAGTCTTGGGAGCTGAGACGGGGCCTTTAAGGACACAGCAACGAAGAAAGCCAACAACCCCACCGCCCACCTGGCTGATCAGCTACGGGGGGTCGGGACCAAGTCTTGCTTCCACCAGAGGGGCCGACCTCGGTGGACCTGTAGGATTGGACTGACAGACTGACGTCGTCTCATGCAACCACTTGCTTCAGGATGATGGTGACCTATTGCTTGCCATGCGCGTGCTAGAGGACCTGGTCGTGGGGTTGCTGAGGGGAGTGCTAAAGGGCTGATTTCTGGCTCAGATGGTCAGCCCAGCCTGCCCAGCTTCCCAGGATTGCCGACGCTTCTTCCGTGCGCTGTCACTGGTGGCCGAAGGCAGGCTCATCGGAATGTGGGTGTTGGCACACCGTTCCCCACCATTCCAAAGCACCCAACGGTAAGAAGGTCCCAACAGCTGGCGGCCCTCACAAGCCCTCGATGCTCGCTGGGAGGTTGGGTATGGTTTGGGTTGCTCACAGCCGGTTTCTGAAGCCATCAGAAAAGCCTCGCCTCTTGCAGGTCGAGGCAGTTCGAGCTTTCAACTGCTGGAGGACCCGAGACGTGGTTTTTGAGCCCCCACGTGGGAGGGACCAAGAAGCTGGCGCCGGGCTCGTAAAACTGAGATGCCTTTTTCTTCCCCCCTGGGGGAAAGGGTACATCGGCCAAACCATGCCAAACCCAAGACAGGTAGATGTAGCATGTATCCATCAGGAGTCACATGGAGTTGGGTGGTATTTGGTCCCCTAGCCTTCATGGATAGCACCCCGTCTTGTGACTGCTGGCAGTCTCTTCAGGACTCTGCCGGAGGCCACTCAGTCTTCCGCTGTGCCAGGACTTGTCACAGCTGAAAGAGTGAAGCGGAGGTGTTACGTGGCACGGATCTGGAGGGTCAAAAGGCCAAGTGAAAAGCAGCCCTTTCAGACTGTGTATATACATACCCAGCGCTTCCTGTCGGGGTGCAATATGGAGACCTGTTAGTAGTGTGGAGATATCCATTGGTGACCCCTTCGAAGAAGCTGGTATATGAAATGATATTTATATTATGTACGTTCTTCCTTTGACCTCTCTTCTTGACCTCGGGCTGTCACATATGGACAAGCCCCATGAAGCCATTCCTTTCCAAACATCTCTCAAAAGTCTCATGCCGAACCCTGTGACCTGACATGTTCGATTCGCCAAGCTATCAGTAGACCCGATCGTTTGGAAGATCATTGGTGCCGTTGCATGGGCCCTCATGTTCCAGGGCCTCCGGGTGTCACTGAATTTCTTGGTCTTTGAAAGCCCATTATTGTTTTGTTTTGAACGATGGTTTGGGGTGTTCCCTTTCTCGGAGCAAAAACGAAAGGTGGGCCGAAACTTCGTGCTCCATGTGCCTTGTCTTGGCGTTTGGGTTTCTGAGCACGGAGTAGGAGTGTTTGAGAACGGACTCCCGATAAGCCAAGCATACTTAAGATGCCACTGGCTGGTAGCGATCGGCAGAGCCGACAAGAACCCTGTCCGCGCCAACGTCTTTAGAGCGCTTGGCCGGCCGGGATGGCTGGGCCGGCTGCCTGCACGGAATTGGCGAAGCACCGCGGGTGTGGAAGGGGCCTAAAGACCGTGAAGATGTTGGCTTCGTCGGCCGAAAGCGAACCTGGTTCCCCCTAAAGAGGACTGTTTGCACCACCTTGGCCCGGGGAAGAGGTGTTTTCTCACTTTAAAAAACAGGAAGAACGTGAAGATGTCACTCAAGCTGTGGTGGCGTCTCACCTGATCGACACCACATCGCCCGGTCATGTTGGTCCCACCGGTCTTCGGTCCCCGGTACGCCTTCGTGCGGGCCCGCGGGTGCACCGGCGCCTTTGTACAGCTCAATTTGTGGCTTGAGTGGCTCCCCCCACCCGGGATGGTCGGATGGAGCGTGAGGGGAGCCACCCAAGTGACCGGTGAGGTGGTTAATGTTAGGAAAAAGGCGCCTGACTTGGGGTTCTTGTGCAACAGCAGGTTTCAAGACCTCCCTGTCTTTGGGATCGAATGCAGCCCCTCCACTCCGCAGTCAAAAGCGCCAGACACATGTAGCAACGTGGCGCCACGATGCGGCTGTTGACAGGTGAGGGGCTTGGCAGGGTCAGGTGGTCCATGGTGGTCCCTGTCTGGTCGCGTGCAGAGCTTGTTGAGAGGCTGCCAGGCGCCCTTCTTTAAGGCCATTCCTTTTGGAGCCTTGATCTTTGGATGTGGAGGCATTTCGGCCCCAGCATGGTTTAATTGAGGAATTCGATGCCGAGCCCCCCCTTAGGGCAGAAATCGCCCAGCGTTCGATGCTGGGATGTGACTTGGAAGCGGAACAGCGTCCGATCTATCGGTCTCTCCGATCTCTGGTACCAAAGCAAACGCCTCAGGGCACCCACGGTGCATGAGAAGAGGGAGCTGTGGACACACTACTTGCAGAAGGCGCGTCTCGACGCGGTTCGGGGGTTCACGCGGCGCATGTCTGTTTTGAACCTGAATGACCCCTGTTTTGGAAGATCAACTATCCAAAATATGAGGAGGTTTTCCTTTCACACGGGAGGTCAAATGGGTTCTAGGTATATATACACTTGTGAAGCAATGCCCCACCAGGGTTTCTGAAACACAAAATTTTACAGTCATCCTGGAGTAGATGGAATATGAACCCATCCAAAAACATGACGAGTTTTCAAGTTTAGTTTTTCAATGTTTTTCCTTATTCTATCTAATTAGTCCAGGATGACTCGATGACCATATCTTTACTCACAGCACGGCCCCGCGCGAGGCCACCAGCATCCAGCCCATCACTGAGGTGAGCGGAGCTGCATCTCAGCTGCGAAAGACGTGGGAATGACTTGGCCACGAAAGTGGTATGTTCCCACTTCTGTGTGAGACGCCGTCCAAGACTTGCAGAAATTGTATATATAATATGTTGTCCATCGGCTGTTGCACAGATTTTTGTCCAACTGGTTACCAACACAGGTTAAGTGACCTTATAGGACCCTACTGGGGTACCTATAGGATAGTCCATAGGGTTCTGCAACCTACATGGAATGCTAGCCGATCAGGACTGTGCGGCTCTTCGATGATTCCTCCGAGTCATCGACCGACCCGAGCTCCATCGACCGACCCGGGATCCCCGAGTCTTCGGCCGTTCCCGCGAGAGCCGCCCGACCCGATCCACCCTTGGCCGACCAACCGTCCAGGTCAACCAGTCGGTCTCCCCACGACCCACAGCCATCGTCTCTGTCGGCACAACGAGGTGGTCGTGGCTCCAGCCTTGCGCGCAGCTTGGATCATCGGCCGGAGGAACTTGGAGAAGGCCGACTGGCGGGGGGGTTCCGTTCTGGAAGTGGAGCCCACTGGAGGCGTTCTTAGGGCCACTTCGGTCTTGAAGATCTGCCCTGGTTCTTCCAACAGCCTTCGATCCACTCGAAGTGGAGTTCGAGCTGCCAAACTCGAGAATGGGCAGTTCCTCCGCGCGGGGTGCGGCTGCTCTGGCCTGCACCGCGGCGGCCGCGCGGCGCTCCATGAGCTCGCGCCGGGCTCAGGGACTTCGCCGAGATTTGCCGATACTCCGCTTCTGCTCGAAACACCGCCAGTTGGCATGTTCCGATTGCCGGAGGCCGGAGCTGTGATCTCATCCTGGCGGTGGCGCGTGGTCGCGCGGAGGGCGCAGTGCAAGTACCATGAGGAGGTCGCTGCTGGATCGATGTTGTTGATACCCTCCTGGAGACTTAACATGGACCTGAGAACAAACATGATTCCTGGAAGAAGATGTTCCTCTACAACCCAGTGGTTTTACAGGCTCCAGGTTTATTTCTCAAGAAGCGTAGGGTTTGGAAAGTCTTTTGCTGGTGACCAAGGTGGTGGGATCCTGGTGCAAAGAATCAGGTGAACACCTAACCTAACCCAGCGGTTGACCGAATTCTGCTCACATATTGTATCGAGTTTAGGAGTGTGGTCTTGTTGGGGGTCTTGAGATGCTGGGATTGGCGGCAAAAAAGCTCGCCTACCAGAACCGACATGCAGAACCTCCAGTGTTGTAGCACACTCACAGAGAGGCAGAGGGGGGTGGTTCAGACTTGGACTTCTATCGGCGGTCTGAGGGGTCGCTCAGGGCCCGGTCTGTCGGTCACCCGGTTTCTGCGACTTCGTTTCGATTTGCCCAGGTCCGCTCAGGTCGTGGATTTCAGGGACCAACTTGGTTTCAGAAGGTTTGGAGGTACACCCTGGTAAGGGGTGACACCACTGGGTTTGTAGAGGAAAATCATGTTCCAAGAGTCCATTTTTCAGGCTCCAGGTGGGTCTCTTCCCAGGTTCAGTTACGGTATGTCTTCTTGCAACACCCAGGAGAAGTGACACCCAGTTCCGTTGACAAACGCCTTCAAAAGGCACAAAACAAGGTGCGTGAACATGCACGACCAGTGCGGTGAGAAGACGTAGTGGCATCTCGATACGGCTCAAATCGTGTCACCCCCTGAAGAAATCTTGCCTGGATACACCTGGACATTGAACACAACATTGGTTGATGAAAACAGTAGACCTAAGATGCCCATGTGGGCAGCGAACCTGCAGGTTCTGTTTGCTGTTTTTTTCTCCCCTGAAGCGGATCAAGGCCTCCTGGCTGTTTCTGGCACGGCGACGTGAAAAGGCTGCCGTGCAGGCGCGGGGGGAGATGATGCACCAGCGCATGCGTGCGTGCGTTTACACGTCATGTCCCATGCCGCGACATGCCGGGACTGCATCACATGCAGTTAATTTTCTTGTGAGCGGACCCTCAGCCAAAGACTGCAGGCATTGATGAGTGGGCCATAGACTTTAGTTGCCTTGAGTTCCTCCTTCTAGCTACTGTAGATTCTGTAGATCTCAGGCACGGAATTTCCAACCACTGGCGGAAAGGGCCCCTAACCCAGCCGAGACTCGACGGGGCCCGTTGCGGCCGTGCCCGGCAGGCCTTTCTTCGCTGGAGCCATGCAGTGGCTTGTCCCATGTTTTCATGGGGTGCGTGTGAAGGAGACCAGTCGTGTAGCGGTGTGTAGAAGTGCTTGCGTGAGCCGCCACAAGAAGACGGTGGGTGAGGGGAGTGCTGACGAGCCTCGTATCCTGTCGTTCTCGACAGATCACCTCTTCGAGGTGAAAGTGGACGTTTCCATCCACTTTCTCGCACCTTTCGTGGTTTGCTTTCTCGCAGTGATGTTTTCCACCCAGGCATTCTCGGGTATTCTTGGTCCGGTTCTTCTTCCTTTACAATGGTTTGTAAAGGTACCAGCAGACGCACCTCAAAATTGGACCGATTTGAGCAGTTCTGGGAACTGCGCAGCGCTGGCGCACTCGCACCCAGAATCACTCGGAGGCCGCCTCAACGGCCTCAGCCCGCGCTTGCGGCCACCTACTCACTGCGCAGCGGGCACGGCGTGAGGCGCGCGAAGCGCAGCACACCCTGGCGCCGGTGCTGGCGGCCTGGTGGGGCGTGGCAGCAGAGCAGCGCCTTGAGGCGGCGGAGGAAGCGCTGAAGGTCGCTCTGATGCTGGAGGCAGAGCCAGAGGAGCTGGAGCAGGAGGGACTAGTGTGAGCTCCTCCACCAGAGTTTGTAGAAAAGCATCAGGGAAGGCTGGTTCAGAAGACACATCAACTCCTAGAACTCCGCCCCTAAGGTGCCCAATGGTCTTCCCTCCATACAGGGGTGAAGTTGAACCGTATCTAGTGCTTGCCATCACTAGTTGGCCTTTCGATGCAGCTCCCAGATCTCGAGCAAGGTGTCACAATTCTTGATTCTTGGATGCCCCTGATGCCCTGCTGGAAATCAGGACAGTTGCCTAAAGCCCTGTCTTCCTTCCTTGGAAGTATGCACCGCCCCTCGATTTTCGC